GAGAGAGAGAGAGAGAGAGAGAGAGAGCTGCATGTGTTTTGGGTTAGCATTGCAGAGTCAATGCAGACTTAGAATTGGAGAGGAGGAGAGAGAGAGAGAGAGAGAGAGAGAGAGAGAGAGAGAGAGAGAGAGAGAGAGGGCTAGCATTGCAGACTTAGAATTGGAGAGTTGTTTAACGTTTCCCTTCCAGCACCTGTGAGCAAGAGAGTGCAATCTGAAATTCCTTTCTGAAGTGGACTGCGTAAACGTGTGCGATTTGTCCTGTTGTGTCAGGACTCGGGATGCACCTTATGCAGATCCAGTCCAGGTTCTTTTAGTATCAGGCCTCCATCAGGACTACATTCAATCGATCAGTTCCAGGATTGGAAGCCAAGAAAGTGTCAGGAGACTATGGCAAGTCAACGGGGATCAGCATCAGGATAGGGGTGGGGTTTTCTGAGCAGAGGTTAAGTGGGGGGGTTCTGGTTTAGAGGGGTCAGGCTTGCAAAGATAGGGAAGTTAGGCCCAAAACCGAAGGCAGTGTTTGCACCACGGGACATGATTTTGCACCTAGGCTTGGAGTGCAGCTGGCTGGTGTGTGAACCAGGTTGAGTCCTGAGAGTTATGTTTAACATGCAGTTGGGGGAGTGAGGTCTGTGTGCTGGCCCTAGCTCAGTTGATGCACCCATGTACTGTTGAAAAATGAAATACAGACCTGATGGTTTGAATTCAGATGATGGAACGCGATGGCGGGAATAAAACCACAAAGGCTGCTAGGGGGGGCTGCTAATATCACCCACCCCTCCTAACAGCTAGACAGTAAAAAAAAAAAAAAAAAAAAAAAAAAAAAAAAAAAAAAAAAAAAAAAAAAAAAGCGGGAATAAAATAATTATGAATTATCTGGGGACGGTCAGCGTGACAATGATATCTCAAGGCCGTGGCCCTTTTATAATAATAATGTAATATGAAGAAAATGAGAAGAAAGTTCAAGAAACCAAAAGGACGAAAAAAGAAAAGGCCTACGTGCCGGGCTCTCAGCAGTGCAGCAGGCTCAACTTGGATCCTGGACTGGATTTCGAACCGGACTTGGAGTGCAGCTTGTCCCTCCATCAGGTTGGGTGCTGGAAAAAAAAAAAAAAAAAAAAAAAAAAAAAAAAAAAAAAAAAAAAAAAA